GAAGGCAGTCGCTTAACCAACTGAGCCACCCAGGCGCCCCCAATTTTATTTTTAAAAATGAATATTAACTTAAATATTATGAGCTGGGGAGTACAATTAAATGTTTGTCAAAATGAAAAAATTCTTCCAACATGCCTTTGGTTTCTTTTTGTCTTTTAGTCTCTTGTTGTTGTTGTTGTTGTAGTATCCCCAGGGTGTTTTAGCATGCCTGGGGCATAGGCTATGTCCTATATAAAGTAGATAAATGTTTGAGTGTTGCCAATTTTTTGAAGCCTTGAAACAGACCTCAAGTGAAGATTTAAAATAGAAGCAAACCAGCATTAAAGGATCTTTAAAGCAGTAAAGATGCCATGGTTTGCAACAATAAAGTAATATAGTGATTGGCGACAGTTGTGGTCATCCTTTCCTCAGTCCACCACTACCCTTCCAGTTACCACATCTGTTAATTCAGGCTTTGAAGTAACTAGCGGACCTGTCTGTTCCTCTGCTTCTCTACTTGGCCATTTCAGGAGTCGAAGCCACTGTCGTCATCTTACTGCTCTACTCTCCTCCTCCAATCCACTTCCCACATAGGGCAGCCAAAGTGCACTTGTTAAGAAGTCAGCGTTTTGAAATGCTTATAAGTCGCCTCCCCAGCTTGGAACCCTCCAGCATGGTTCTCTTGTCCTTGGGACCTAATCCAAAATCCTTGGTGTAACATTTACTACCCTGAACGCTGACTGCTATTTGCTTTCCTCTCTCATTAACTTTTGCACTCTCTTCTCTCATCTTGCCAAACATATATGGCTTCAGATCCTTTCACTTGCTATGTCTTTCCTGTGTTGGGGTCTTGAAACTGCCATTTCCTCTACCTGATATATTATTCTTTTCCTTGGGTAATTCTGATTTATCTTTCAGGTCTTAGGCTAAGTACCACTTCCTTAGGGGAGCAATGCTTTGCACCTCTAATCAAAGTCTGGCTGCTTTTATATTATTCTTGATACTCTTGTTTTCCTTTCAGAACCATATTATCACAACTTGCAGCTATACGTGTGTGTGTGTGTGTGTGTGTGTTTAAAATCTGCCCTCACCAGATAGTAAGCTCCAGTAGGTGTGTGTCTGTTTACTTGTCTAGTATATGAACCATGCTTAGTGTTTACCTGGCACATTGTAGGTTCTTAGTAATGATTTTAGTGAAAAGTTGAATTTGCCTTGCATGTTGGCAATGTATCAATCTTACAACATATTTATTGTCCTCATGTTGAATCTGGGATAAGCATTTAATGTTGGGAGAGAGTGGGAATGATTTGTTCCTACTGCCCATTGATTAGCATATTGGGTAGCATAGAACCATGCATGAGAAATGGTGACTGGCCAACCACATGCACTAATACATAAATTTATATTTTGCTTAACAGAAAAACAATGAATATAAAGTGGTATTAGGCAGCTTTTCACTTTATCCAGAACTGGGGAAGAAACTCAAGGCTTAAAAATATAAATTTCCCTCTTTATTGCTTTAGAGTTTATTCAAATTGTTGTATACCATGAGTCCTTGCTTAGTAGCTTTTTGGCCAATAGGATTTCAGTATGCAATGCACTAATATAAACAACTGGATTGGCTTAACTACCTCTGATGTCACAATTTCCCCATTAGGAAGTCATAATTTTCCTTAAATCACATTATAGTAATAACAACTCTTGTTATTCTCTTTCATTATAAGAAAGATAATCTACCAAAAATAAAAATGCTGGAAGGAGCAGCATACCTTTGATCGACACAGACCTTTTTCCATTTATGCGCTTTAATATCTACTGCCAACAATTGGAGTTAGCTTCTTTGCTTTATAATTGATGTTTTGTTTTTTGTTTGTCAGTTAATAGGCAAATGGAGGAATGAGCCTACTTCAAATTACTGCTTCAACTCATAGTTCTGTTTCATCGCGACTGTTGAGGCTTAGCATCTTTCTACTACTTAGCCTTCCTGACTCTAAAGGAAAAGCCATTTGGACAGCCCACCTGAATATAACTTTTCAGGTGGGAAATCGGATTATATCAGAATTAGGAGAGAGTGGAGTGTTTGGAAATCATTCTCCTTTGGAAAGGGTGTCTGGTGCCGTGGTACTTCCCGAAGGATGGAATCAGAATGCTTGTAATCCTATGACCAACTTCAGCAGGCCTGAACAGGCAGACTCTTGGCTGGCCCTCATTGAACGGGGAGGCTGTACTTTTACACACAAAATCAATGTGGCAGCAGAGAAGGGAGCAAATGGGGTGATCATCTATAACTATCCAGGTACGGGCAACAAAGTGTTTCCCATGTCTCACCAGGGAACAGAAAATATAGTCGCGGTGATGATAGGCAACTTGAAAGGCATGGAACTTTTGCACTTGATTCAGAAGGGAGTTTATGTGACGATCATCATTGAAGTGGGGAGAATGCACATGCCATGGCTGAGCCATTATGTCATGTCTCTGTTCACCTTCCTGGCTGCCACAGTTGCCTACCTTTTCTTGTACTGTGCATGGGTACCTCGAGTGCCCAATTCTTCCACCAGGGGGCGAAGACAGATAAAAGCAGATGTGAAGAAAGCTATTGGTCAGCTTCAACTGCGAGTGCTCAAGGAAGGGGATAAGGAACTAGATCCAAATGAAGACAGTTGTGTTGTTTGCTTTGACATATACAAACCCCAAGACGTAGTACGTATTTTAACTTGCAAACATTTTTTCCATAAGGCATGCATTGACCCCTGGCTTTTAGCCCATAGGACATGCCCCATGTGCAAGTGTGACATTCTGAAAACTTAAACCTGGAGAATCTTCTGAAGATGTAACCAAGTCTTTCCAAAGATTAAAATTACATGAATTCTCTTTTAGCACTTTTATGTAGAGAAAAAACTCAACTTCATCTTCTCTACCTAAGTACTAATGAGGATGAAATTTGTGTGTTTTTAAAATAAAACTCCATATCATGCCCAGCTATTTGAACTTGTTGTTTTTCTATTAGGTTGCTACTTCTTTGCCCTTATCCAAATAAGAAAATTAGTATATGTTAAAAAACAAATTAGTCTTCAAATTAAAATGATTGTGACATTGAGGCCACAGAGAGTCGTGATACTTTAAAGTTTCTTTTTTATATTTTATTTCCATACTTTTGATATCTAATATCGCTGTTAAATAAATTTCATTATAGAATTAGATCTTGATTTAATTCTCCATGGTTAATTAATACCGGGAAATCTGGTTTCCAAAGTTACTAAGTAATGTGTTCTAGGTAATTATTTTCGATGATAGCGCCTCTGGTTATATAACTAAAATATTTTAAATTATTATAGGCTTTGTTTAGGGCAGCGTCACAAAAAAAATCACTTTTGTTTGCTACAGCCCTTTAAATCCTAGCATAGTGAATTAGCTATGGTGGCAGATTTCCCTTCTAGAAGTGACCGTAGTAAATGCTTTTGTTTTCTTAACATCGTGATGAGTGTGTCTCTGGGCATTTTGATATAGATCTAGAATGGAGCTGAAATTTTGTTTAATTGCCTTTACAAATTGTATCTCTTGCCTCATTTTGCTTCTCTTTTTGAGTAGATAAACACAAACACCTGTGTGTAACAATAAGAGGCTGAAAGATTTGAGTTCTGGTTTTGACTAAAATATTTGTGGGTGAAATGCTAAACCATTGATATCCAACTTAGATGACACTTTGAGTCTACACACTATGTACTACACACTTTCAAGAATGGGTTGTATGGAAATAAAATCAGATTAATGGCCTTTGGGAAAGAGAATGGACCATCGTGAGCTATAATTTACATGGTAATATTTTCTTTTTATGCTGCTTTGGTTGGGCCTGTAGGGCCTTTTTCTCTTCCTTTCCTGCCTCAAATTATTTTGATTCACACTTCATAAAAAGAACTAGCTCCCTTAGTCCTGGTAAGACCTAACCAAAACGGTCTCTTAGCATCCTCTGTGTAAAGGTCAGACCTTTGTGTTTAAGGTCAAAGTTCTTGGTTTCCTAGCTAGTGGATGAGAACCACTGAGAGATACCCTCAAGAAGGTGTATGGCAGCACCAGGGGTTGGCCACGTTTGTTAGTTCACGAGTCGCTTTGGTCTCAAGTCATTCTGTGACATTGATGTAAGTGTAGCAAAAATAAAGGCAGAGCTGATGACAGGGTATGTGTGTGCGCGCACGCATGTGGAGAGGGTCGGTTCACCAGGGATGTTTGTTGATTTTTGGCAAAGGTTTTGCTCAAAGCATCTATGACCTTTAACACTGCTGTCGGTGGTTAACTCTAAATGGGGACCTTGACGTTTTTCTTTTTAAAAAATCAGTAGCTGCCTTTTTGTTTAAAATGAATTATGCTAAACTAAGACTGCTACATATAATTTTTTTCCTCCTACTCTTCCTTTCTTCCCTCAAAATATTGTTAGATCAGTAGCAGATGCCAAGATCTGCAGAGAAAAGAGATTAATGTTCTTTACCGCTGTCTTCCCTATGGAGAGTCAATGTAAGAGTGAAGAAGTGAAGCTGAAGTAATCTAACAGGATTTAGAAATCAAAATCCTCCTTTTAAAAATCCAAATCAAAACCAGACTGAACCAACCAACCTGAGCAAGCAATTATTAAATAAATTTAGTACAATGGTTTACATGATAAATAAAAAATTTGCACCGTGACCAAATATGAATTAAAAGTGGTACTACAGAGCTCACTGCTTTTCCCGCATAATTATTCACAGTACTAATTTCTAATTATTTAAAACTTGCCATTTTGTTACATGTTTCCTTGATTTATTGTCAAGAAAAATGATAATTCTGTGGCTTTCTTGCATATGCTTTCAAGTTTTATATGTGCATGTGTTGTATGGATTTTATATTTAATTTTTTGTTTAAAGTGATACCTGTTAACATGTAGCTCAAGGATTGAATTGATTTTACAATCTAGAAATCACCCCTAACAGTATTTGAAGCATTCAGGCCAGTAAGTTTCCAGCAGGCTCAAAGCTCTTCTCTAATTGGCTGTGTTGTCTTTTATGTCATAATCATTACCCATACAGTATCTGGAGTTTACATTAGTGAGACTGGGATTTTTTTTTTTTCAATCTAAAGTGTTTCTCTTTCTCTCTCTAATAAAACATCTGAACCTCATAAGACATCTTTAAGAATTTCTTAGAAAAACATGCTGGAAGACAGTGAAACTTGTTTTTACCCGGAAGATTTTTCTCATGTTATTGTTCTGAATTGATTTCCAACAGATGTGGAAGCCACATAATTTTGTTGGGTTGGTACTTCAGTCTCTAGGTGAAGAGAGAGATGAGTCTACTCAGGATTGGCACTCATGGAAACAACACTGCATCTTCCTGGCTTATGAAATTTAGTTTTCTTTGGCTTCTTAGTCAGAACTGTTGCAGAGCTAGTGCTGTTTGGACTGCTTACATGAACATATCCTTTCACGTTGGGAATCGCATGTTATCAGAGTTGGGGGAAGCCGGCGTGTTTGGAAGAAGCTCCACTTTGAAGAGAGTAGCAGGAGTTATAGTGCCACCAGAGGGGAAAACTCAAAATGCGTGTAATCCCAATACCAGTTTTAGAAGATCAAAGAACTCCGAGACCTGGCTCGCACTTGTTGAACGGGGAGGTTGTACCTTCACGCAGAAAATTAAAGTAGCTGTTGAGAAGGGAGCCAGTGGAGTGATCATCTACAACTTTCCAGGAACTGGTAATCAGGTTTTTCCCATGTCTCATCAGGCATTTGAAGACATCATTGTGGTGATGATCGGTAACCTAAAGGGCATGGAGATTTTGCACTTAATTCAGAAGGGAGTTCACATCACAGTCATAGTTGAGGTGGGGAGAAAACACATCATCTGGATGAATCACTATTTTGTGTCTTTTGTGATTGTCACAACTGCTACTTTAGCATATTTCATCTTTTATCATATTTGGAGACTTTGGGTAGCCAGGATTCAGAACCGGAGATGGCAACGGTTAACGACCGATCTCAAGAAAGCCTTTGGCCAGCTTCAGCTTCGGGTGCTGAAGGAGGGGGACGAGGAAATCAGTCCGAATGGAGATAGCTGCGTAGTTTGCTTTGAACTCTATAAGCCTAATGATACAGTGCGTATTCTCACTTGTAAACACTTTTTCCACAAGAATTGCATCGATCCCTGGATTCTGGCCCACGGGACCTGTCCTATGTGCAAATGTGACATTCTTAAAGCTTTGGGCATTCAGGTGGATGTTGAAGATGGAACAGAATCTTTGCAAGTTCTCATGTCGAATGAATTGTCTGGTAACCCCCCTAGTGAAGAGGGGACAAACAACGAACTCCCTCCTGCAGGAGGGTCAGACAAAGTGACCCCTGTGGTGGCGGAGGAGGAACCCTGTCCTCAGAATGACAGCCAGCCTCATGCAGTAGCGGGAGATGTTCATCCTTCACCTTGACGGCATGACCTTTGAGGAACTGGATTAAACCTGTTTGTCAACTCAAGTCCTAATACTGACAAGCAGTTGGTTTGTTTGAAGTGTGGTTTTTGTGTCACTTTCTGTTACTTTGGTAACTGTCTCCATTCTTTGTCAAGCAGAAAAAGGGCCTAGCAGGACTTTTTGTTTCTTTTTTTGCCTTTGCTAAATGTTAACTGTTTGTCAGTGTCTGTCATTCCTGTGAGTATATATGGCTGTTTCTACATACAGGTGCATGTTAAAATCAAGGACAAACTTTTTTCCCCCTAAATGTTTGTACATATATTGGGCTCTATTTTGGTAAGAAAATTGTTAATATATTTGCATGTTCCTTATACAGAAACCATCAGTTAAGTTTGGAAAAGAAAAACTATCTTTTACGTGCTAGGAAGAGTACTTTTTTGAGATTATATATAGTACAATATACTACTTTTGAAGTCATTGTGCTGTGTTTTTTCATTCTTAGCATGAAAATTTTGCTGTTCGGAATTTTATTACTGTTACTCTTGACAAGCAGTCCTTTTCAAGCTATTAGTACCTTTTAATGTGATTTGTATATGCATAATGATAGCAATTTTAAAAGAAAAACACTAGCTCTTTTAAATCTGTGCCCAGTATTGCATATAATTAATACATGTTCATAATTTGTAGAAAGATTTAAATGATAAATCCTCTGTTTAGTTTTTTCCCCATTTGTTCCACCATACTACCCAGTTTGTTTTGCCATTAAATATTTAAAATATGCTAGGTTATTTTGGAGATAGATATCACAATGTGATTTATTATGACATCTTGGGATTGTGTTTATTTTGTTCACTGTATTCCCAGGATCTAGCACAGTGCTGGGCACTCAAATACTTTTGGAGTGAAGGAATGAATCAGTACTTTATTCATTATGTAAATATGTGTTAATATGAAAAACTGGGCAGTTTATCCCAATCATACACAATAATGGGAAGTTAATCCTGAAAATTTCACCCTAAATCACCTTGACAAAATGGAAAACTGTGATTTTTTTTAGCCTAGAATCTCTTATTTCAGTTTAGCATGCATAATTTTAACAAGGACCTTTGAACTCTCCTGAGCTGATAGTGGGGTTTTGGTTCTTGTGCAACACTAAAGAGAGATCTCTTAGGAGTGGTTTCTTGAGTTCAGGGCTAGCATTGGAATTCGGAGACAGATGGCAGGAAGGGCAATAGTTGGTTCTAACTTAATCAAAGGAGATTCTCTTTGAAAGAACCGTAGAGCACCCATACTGTGGAGGATTTAGCAGGAACACTATTTTGAGGATCTTTCTCAACTTACCTGGGAGAATAAAGTTATATTCTGAGGTACTAAGGATCACATTGAAAAGACAGGACCCTGAGGACCCTTTGAGGGGCCACACCTAGTAGGAGCTGAGGCTAAACCAGGATAAGTTGACTTTCTCAGACTGGCCACTGTTGGCATCTCTGCCCCTAGGGCTAGTAGCTCATGGGTGTAGCTAGGGGGGCTTCCACCAGCTGCCCAAGAGATTGATTGGAGCTATGGAAGTAAATGTATCTGGCAGGGCTGGCAGCCCCTGAATCCAGGTTCTAGAATCATTACCATTCTGTGTCATCCTAGCAAATTAACCTGGGGGGCATGTTGCATGACAGACCCAGAACTTGAGGAATTTGTTGTTTGCTCTTCACACTAACACTGCTCTTGCCTTCTCTTTCAGTCCTTTTCTGCACCCTCATTGGTTTTGTTTCTTCGTTCTTCGTCGTCAACCTAAAACCTGACTTATGGGTATGAAATTAACATTGACTCACTTTTAAAATTCAGTGTCTTGGGGCACCTGGGTGGCTCAGTCGTTAAGCGTCTGCCTTCGGCTCAGGTCATGATCCCAGGGTCCTGGGATCGAGCCCCACGTCGGGCTCCCTGCTCAGCGGGAAGCCTGCTTCTCCCTCTCCCACTCCCCCTGCTTGTGTTCCCGCTCTCGCTGTGTCTCTCTCTGTCAAATGAATAAATAAAATCTTTAAAAAAAAAAAAATTCAGTGTCTTGCTAATATGGACATTTAACCCAGAGAATTTTCAGTGGATGCCCTTTGAAGGGTGTTAGAACCTATGTTTGGGTCAGTGAGCTCGGGAACTGTCATCACTGACTGCCGACCATGTAGCAGGCAGTGGACTAAGTGCTTTCCATTGCTTTTTCTTATGTCAGAACAAAACAGTTTTAGTTTTTGTCTTTAGAGTGTTGTAAACAGATCAATAAACCACTTTTAGTCTCAATTTAATAACCAGGGCCTGGAAATAAGACTGCTATGTCAAATGTAAGGTATTCATTGTAGTAGATTTTTACCTACTTTTTGGGTTACATCATTTTCTCTTTTCATAGTGTTGTAAATAAATTTTGTCATAATGGCATGGCACTATAATATGAAGTATTCTGCCCCTAATACCAATGTCATGTTGGATTTCCCTTGCATTTCTTCTTTGTATGTATTTTTGCATTCTCCAGTAGTTTGATTACCCACACTCATCTCTAATAGGGGGTTGATGTTCCTTATAAAAATGCAACTTTTTAAATTCATTACTGGGATAAATTAGATTTAATATTTACTGAAGTGAAAAGGATTCTAAAGAACTTGACAACTGATTGGGTGATGCAGTAGGTGATTTTATCTCTACATTTCCTTGTCTTACAGGACACACTAAACTAATTGTATCCCTGTCTCTTACTACAGACTTACTATAAGGCAATTGTACTATAGAGAGATGTTGGTCAGCCATAATATTTACCATAGTGGGAGTATTTCCAAGGGTTTAATGAGCTTGGAATCTGGCATTTCTGATGGTATTTAAGTTTAGTGTATGGTTAGTGTTTTCTCCTTTTACAAACTTACTGGTTTTTGAAGTAGCACACAGGAATCCAGTGAGGGGAAAGGATCAGAATTTGGAGAAACACTGATGTAAAAAGAGTAAGCATTCACATATTGCTACTGTGTGAAGGATTCATGGTGACTCCATATTCTTTACTCCATCATTTACTATGGGCACCAGTTTCTGGATTTTAGAATTTATTTAGCTTTGTATTTAGTGCATGTTTTAAATGTTTAGTGCTTAGTGATGAAGAATAAGGATTATGTGTTATTGCAATAACCAACACAGAAATATCTTAGTATATGCCTGTTTTTCTAAACCATAAGAACTTTTTTTGGCAGAGGAGGGAATGATGCACCTGAGATGAGTGGCTCCCTGTGCGCACAGGTGTCAAAGCTCTTCATCACATACCTCCACCAAAACCTCCCTTTTTCATAGACCATCTATAAGCATAACACCTGTCTTCACAATTGTGCTGTCATCTTAGACCTCCAAGATACAGTGTTCCTTGATGACTTCAGCTGCTGACATGAATTTTCCTCATTGTTGATGACCAGGGTAGTCCTGATTTCAAAACTTCTCTACATCTGAATGTTCATCTCTCAATTCAGTAACACGACATTGTTGTCACACATCAGCTTTTGTCATTTTTGAAAATTTCCCAACTAAGAGCATTTTTTTTTTTTTTCAGAATTCCCTCTCTGAATTTACTTGACCTTTCATTTCCACTGTTTGCTCTTTGTTGTCACTCCAAGCAGGGTTTCCTGCACCCATTCTTTCTCAGCCCATCTCTTTTCCAGCTGCAGCCTAGAACCAACTGTAAGCCATTTGCTTTACTCTACCACGTGCCCCTGAATTCCTTGCCTTCTAGACTTCTTTACAGGACCATTTGTTGGTCCTGAGTCCTCTCTATTGATTTTCACCAGATGTTTACTTCCATTTAAAAATTCTTTATTCTCAGGCGCCTGGGTGGCTCAGATGGTTAAGCATCTGCCTTCGGTTCAGGTCATGATCCCAGGGTCCTGGGATCGAGTCCCGCATCAGACTCCCTGCTCAGTGCAGAGCCTCCTTCTCCCTCTCCCTCTGCCATTCCCTCTGCTTGTGCTCTTCTGTCTGTCTCTCTATCAAATAAATAAAATCTTTAAAAAAATAAATAAAAATTCTTTATTCTCTTAACTCCTTTTTTAAAATTTCTCATTGATCAGTATTTCTCGGCCTTGGCTGCACATCAGAATCCCTTGGAAAGCTTTTAAAATTCTCAGTGCTCAGGCTGCACCCAGGACCTGTACTCTGGGACTCAGGCATCAGAATTTTTTTTAGTTACCCAGTTGATTCCAATGTGCAGACAGGATTGAGAACTGCTACCATAAGGCTGTCCCAAAGAGCCTTTACATTAATCAAGTTCTCAATTTTACCTTTTGCTTCTTTCACATTGACTTGTTTTCACTTTACTCAAAATATTGAGGTAGAAATCTAAACATCAATCATAAATGGTGATATTTCATGAATAGTAATTGATAAAGGCTTCTGGGAATATGAAAGAATGGATTTCAACTAGAGAAGCAAGGGATACTTAGAAGGAAATAACATTTGAAATGGAGCTACCATTTGGGAATGATGTGAACAATAATTGTTTCTTTCCCCAAAGAAAGATGTTTATTGGTAATTCAGGCAAAAAAAAAAAAAAGGATTTAAAGTAAGAACCCTGATAAGTCGTGGATTCCTAATATTTTTCTTTTACAAGTTTTTATTTAAATTCCAGTTAACATACAGTGTATTATTAGTTTCAAGTGTAGAAGTCGGTGATTCATCACCTATGTACAACACACAGTGCTGCTCATCACAAGTGCACTTCTTAATCCCCATCGCCCATTTAACCCATCCCCTGGCCCATCTCCCCTCTAGCAACTGAGATTGTTCTCTATACTTAAGAGTCTGTTCTAACAACAGGGTTTTATAAGGAAGTTGGTGTCCTATAGAACTTTGGTTAAGGAACTCGAAGACCAGGAATTCCAGAGGCTGTTGTAATAATCCAGGAGTGATAAAGACAAAATATGAATAAAAGCAATAGTAGGTGAATCAGGTGAGAAGAGTATAACATGGGTCACCTTCAAGGTTATGTTCTTTGATTTCATTTG